CACTTAAAATCACACTTGTTCAAATCTTAAAGAAACGTAGCGGAAATCTTACAAGCGTGGTTTACAAACCGAAACCTTATTGAAAATTCTCAATAGAAACTTATTCACATTCACGACCACCACAGCTCCTCACACCTGCGCACCGTCTTTAATTCCTGAAAAAAATGATAATAGTGGGGCGTGAGTACTAATCAACTGTACTCCGTAAAAACCCATACAAAAGTAAACAGCAATAATAATATCAATATCATGATCTTTGGTATATATTTGAGCTTAATCTCCCGGTATCTGACCGGTAACTTTAACTTGAACTTTGCAACTACCGGTAACTTAGGCCGGTTCTCACGTGATCACATTCTGGGGTCGCCTCCCACAGAATCCAGTCTTGACTGAGCGAGCTTAATACTTTACTTAACTTTATACATACCTGGAACATGATAATAGCTATTATACTCAATGTAATACCCAGTCTGGGTCCCCACCTTTTCTTCTTAAAAACTTTTGAAAACTGTAAGTGCTGTTCTGGTAGCTGTATCTGCAACTACACAGAAATATAAACAAATATACTAAGTACTATGCTCATATACTCAATAAAATTCTAGGATGCTCGACTCTATCAGATAACTTATCCGAATATAAATAAACACCCTAAAAGTTGTCTAAAAATATTATTAATTCAAGAGTTTAACTGATATACTTAAACTGAACTGATTGGACTTAGAAAAATACTGAAATTCCGGAATAAAACTCGGACCAAGATACTCGAAATTACGTAAAAATAATCAAGCTTTATACCTCCTCTCGAATTGACGAGAAACTGAAAGAATCGAGAAAAATGAAGCCTCGAACATGAACTTGGCCTTGGTTCTCGATAAACTCTCGGCATATGAGTTGCATTCTCATAACTAGGGATTTTCTAAGCCTTCAATTTCTAATTTATACTTATCTAATATTATATTAGATGCTCTAAAATTTCTGATTTTCTCACTTTAAACCCGAATGAGAAACTTATGATTTCTCCAACCAAATGAGAGGTTTATATATAGTTGAAGTGAGTCGTGTAATACTTCCTAAAATCTGATGAAATAAAGTATATAAAAGTTCTCAAATATGATTAGAATTCCTTATCAACTTTATATAAAAAAAATCATAAAAAAAAATAACTTGTAGCATAAAAAAAATATGATTTTGATAGCTCATTTATTTCTCCAACACTAAATGGCCAAAATGACATGAATAATGCTGAATAAAAGTTCCACGGCTGATTAGAGTCTATTTCAATACATCAATACAAGATATACTTAAATATATATAAAGAAAACTTGTAGTCTTAATTCTAATAATAGAGGCGTAAAGGAAACTTAACAATGACATATATATATATATATATATCATATATCTAGTATTAATAACTCTACTGATTGACCAAAAGTGGCGAGTTGTCCAAACAAAATGATCTGGAAAGAATATGACATTATTGGTACAAAACTTATCACTTACCGATATATACATATATTATAACTTTGACTAAATATAGTAGAGAGATGTCGTAACAAATTTGAACTTGAAGGAATCATTAGAGCTAGAATGACAATGATATTATCTCTACTAACTTACTACTTGCCCATCAAAGAATTTATTTGCTTTTTAATCCAATACTAAAAAAATTGATCATTAACAATTACGTGGCCGACTTTACTCCTCAAAATAGCCGAAACAAATATAACTTATAAGGCTCAAAAATATAAGGTTTATATTGATCTCGATAAATTTCTAATAAGTCCAAAAAAAATAATATCAACGGCACTGAATCGTCTAAAAATAAATTAACGACTCTTGCTAAAATAATATTTTTATATCTAGGTTAAACTCTGAATTTAATTTAAATAGACAAAATATCTAAATAAATTAGTTATCTCGAAATATTCTTAATTCAGATTAGTTTTGAGTAATTAATTCCTGACTTATAAAGTCTTTGTAAAAAAAAAATAAAAAGACTAGAATTAATTAATGAACTGGCTCGATTACTAAATAAAATTTAGCTGAGAATACTTAAAGTCGAACATATAACTTAATAACTTAATAACTTACTAACTGGGCTCATAACTAGAAACGAGCATTATTAATTAAAGTAAATAGTTCAAACTCTGAACTAAAATAATTACTTTTATTAATAACTTATTGGGATATTACATTGGGGGTCGAGAAACAGGTTAAAATAGGACTTGAGATTATTTTATGTATATATTGTGTATATAGTCAGTATATGTTCGAGAAATAGGTGAAAAATAGGACTTGAAATTATTTTATGTATATATTATTTATATAGTCAGTATATGTTCAGTTTATATTACGTAAAAAAAAAAGCAATATATACTAACAATATATTGTTTATAAGTGAAACATGCCAACCCCTTCAACGTCACCCTCGTCAATCAATTGGATAAAAATAAAAAAGATCACGTATTTTATTCGAAGGAGAGTAGATGTCGAGCCAATCGAGCTTCGACGGGGAGTCAATGATGGACCATCGAATCGTATCGGGTCGCCGGATTTGGGAATGGATCTTGAGCTCAGGGTAATGGTGAACCCAGCTCCGCTCAGTATGGAAGTTTCAAAACAAGGGAACGACTCCATGGATCCTCCCGATTGAAGGTTTTGTCGCATGAGATCGATACAGTCCGATAAAAGAAATTTTTCTGCAAAAAAAAAATAGAGAAATCGGGGAAGGGAACCCGATGAGGAAGAGATGTACGCCAGCAGCGGAAACGACAACGAGTTGCAGTGGCTATCGCCCGATCATCAGAGGCAAGCAGCTCGTAGTCAAGGGGCTTGAAGATATTCGAGAGAAATAGTGAATTGAATTAGGGATTTGTTTCTTTGGCAAGAGAAACGAATTGAAAAAAGGCCAAGGCAAGAAGAAAGAGAAATGAAGAAAAGTGAAAATAATTCGTACAAATGCAAATAAAAAGTGAAGGCTTGTCAAAATTAAAATAAGATGGAATGAGGTTGTGTGGTGGGTAATTATCTCAAAAAAAAAAAACTGTACTCGTGCATTGAGAAATTGCTGCCATTTTTTTAAGTAAAAAGCCTTTTTTTCTTGCTGTTGACGATGCAAAGTCAATTTGGACAGAAAAGTTTGGATTTGGAAAGATTCCTACAGATCAGGTATGCAACTGGCCATGTATCTTTTTGACCCATAAAAAAATACTCCCTCCTTTTTTAAATAAATGTCGTTTTGACTTTTTTGATTCATCCATTTTGCTATGTATCTATACATTAATATGTCTAGATACATAGCAAAATGGATGAATCAAAAAAGTCAAAACGACATTTATTTAAAAAAGGAGGTCGTACTACTCCCTCCTATTCAAAATAAGTATTGTTTTGAGAAGTTGCACAATTATTAAGAATAATTTTTTTACCAATAATAACCCTCATTAATGAGGATAGAGATAAATATTTTGAAAAAAAAATGAAGAGTGAATATGAAAAGACGCAGTGTATTTATTAACTAAATGAGGGTAATAATAGAAAAATATGTACAAAATATTCAAAACGACATTTATTTTGTTAATAGTTGATAATGCTAAATTGATATTTAAAAAGAATAGGAGGTAGTATTTTACAACATAATTATCAATTTTATTTACTTCTTCATGTTGTCTTGCAGCTTTTGAGTTACACAGGAAAATATGCTGACAGATGATGACTTTCTAGGGAACGTGACTTAGAAAGTGACTGAGAAAGCAAAAACTTCGAGCCATTTATATTGCAACTTATTGGGTTTGTGGTGTTCATTGATATTTTGATGAGCTTTGGACTAAACAAACAACTCGGCCAATCCCCACTAAACTTTGTTAAGAATATTTTACATCACTATTGTATATGTAATAATTTTTTTTTCGTAATATTGGCGGGCTGGCCCACGGCCCGCCTGGCCCGCCCCGTCAAAACCCGCGGCCCACGCAGGCCAGCCCATTTTGGCGGGGTGGGCCGGCCTACGGGCCTAGACCCGTTTTGACAAGTCTACATCACACGAGATGCTTACTAGTTAAAGAGTTATAAATAAGGGCAATTAGGTTTCTTTATCAAAAGATAAGTCCAATAGAAGAAAAACGATTCATTGTTGAGTTTATTTTGTGTATGCAGCCATTTATCAAATACACGAGACCTGCAGTTCTCTCTGTTTACAATGTCCAAGATCATCAGCATCAATTCAAGCAGTTATCCAACTTTGACTCGTTTTAAGTACACATACAAAGATACAAAGACTTTAAGCCGATACGCCTACTTAGTTGCCCTTGATGTCTTCAAAGAATGGCTCCGGCACTTCCAAAGGCGAAGAAAGCATCGACACACATTTAAACTGTTAAAAAGAAAAAAAAAGGAAAGAAAAGAAGAGAAAAGGAACAATGTTAATTTAAGAGAACAATATATCTACGGCTATAGAATCGAAATTCATTTGAATGGACATGAAAGGAAAAGAAAACATACACACCTTGTGTTGCTTGTATTTCTCCCTCACAGCAACTAATGCACCTCCTCTTTTACTCAACTGCAAGTCATGAAGTATTGCCACACATTCTTTTAAATCTGAGGCTTTGTATCCTGAATGACGTTCAAGAGCCATATTCTGCAAAAAGTAACACTTAATCAGCGAAAAATGACAAAGCCGGAGAATTAACTTCAATATGAATACAATTAGGACTTAGCCTGATTAAGAAATCTCCAAATATTACAATTTATATCTACACTGAACAAATTACAGAGTTCACTATGTCATTTACGAATTCCTTTAAGGGGATATATAAGATGTTTTTTACTTGCAACATAGAATTCGTAATCTTACCCAAGGATGTACCATAGGCTGGAGCATAAATCTTGCGAGGAACATAACAGATGCAGCCACCAAGGAAGGCACGAATTTGACACACCCGTAATCCAGCAAACTTAACTCTCCCAAGTAGGAACCCAAGAATTCCAACTTCAAGCTGGAACCCTGAACAAAAGCATATAACATTTAGAACAAATTATGGTCAACCGAAGAATACATGAGAGAAGTGAAGTGTATTCTTACCCTATAGTCTTCTTGGGAAATTCTGATAAACCTCCTGAAAAATCACAAAACAATATTGCAACCATGTCAGCTGAAAGAAGCTAGAGCTTATGGTTACAGGATAAAAACACATACCATTAACAATTTTCCCATCTTACCTGAGAAAGGACTTAACTGTGGGACTGCCCATCTCAAACCTAAGGGATTTGAGCACATCAGCCTCCATCTTCACAATGTCTTGCTTACTATATGTGTTGTCGGTGATGTAACAGAAGTCGTCCACATGCGGAGGACTAATCTCTTCATATTTCCTATACATAAATCATATCACAACACAAAACTACATTCAGCTTTGTAGATAGTAATGCAGTTTTACTTTAATATTCTTTTTTTTTTTCTATGGTTGAATGGAGAGAAAAAAGTGATTTGGTCCATACGAGGCAATGAGCATCGAAGAAACTCCAAGAAGCTGAAGCCTTTGCCTATTAATAGCATTCGTGGATAAAAATCTATCAATATAGGAAACTGTCGAGTACAAGGTATCAGATTGAAGCTTGTACTCCTCCGAGACCTCGACTAACCAATCTACTAAAATCCCTCTCATGTTAGCAGTCATGTCTCTTTGAATTTTCTCCAGGTAATTGGACAATGGCCTTCTCCTAGCTTCCATCTGCATCATTGAGTCAAATATTTACTGTTATACCAAAACTTGAAGTTTTCACCCAATTCAAGTCAAAAGAAATTGCAGTTAATGTTAGTACTATATCTGATTATATTTTCCTTTCAATATAGGCTTTAAGTATCAATAAAATCGGAAAGCATTATCGCAATTATCATCTATATAATCTAATGTGTTATCATTTTCCGGCCGGCGCAATTGTATTGGTTGGCTCTATATGTGAGTCTTCAAGCTTCTAAAATTCAATTAACAAGATAAAGAAATGCATCAGAAGAGTAAAATAAGAAAATCCTTGACAATCCAATTTACGAAACAAATCACTCAAGGTCCCTTACTAGAGAACAACAAATCATGACATGAGAAATGGAAATCCAACAAAATTAATCTAATTTAAATCTCACCTCCATTTTATGAAGATACTCATAAATATCAGAAGCATAAGCTTCGCACAGCTGTGGATCCTCACATTTTTCTAGGCACTCGTTAATGGCAGAATCAGTTTCCTCTTTCTCTCTGTCTGTTTTCTCCTCAATCGTTTTTCGTTTGCTCGATTTCCTCTTCGGCTTACTTTTCCTCTTCTCGTCGTCCCCAACACCAAGACCCTGAATTTTATCGTAAACGAGGCCATTCGAAGACATGACATTTTGAATATCGCCCAAAACAACTCTCTTCTTCTTGTTAATGTGCTGCTGCAACTGAATCGCCTCTTGTGCAGCTCTTTTCCTCGCCGCCAAACGCGTCACCCTCACGCCGATCTCTTGGTCAGCCATTGGAGAATTCTGTAGAAATTAAAATCCAACGAAAACTATGGAAGAACAAATAAGACTGTAGGGAACTTGTTTGAAGGTGAGATTGGATTGAACTGGTTTGCTTGAGTATATAATAAAACATAAATTTTATTATACCGCCCGTGTTTAAATTTTTTCGAACGACTTTTTCGCTCTAATTCAAAATTGGAAAAAAATAATAATACAAATGTTTTGATTTTCATTTGGTTTACTCTTTGAGCGCGGTTTTGAGTTTCCCGGTTAGCAATTAGGATTTTTTGTTTTGGGAAAGGCGCCAACCGCCAAGAATGTTAAATTGGAGATTTGGAGGTTTAATTAGAATGTTGTTGCTTTCTCTACAGTTATGTTTGACTTTTGAAAAATAATATTGAACACAATAATCAGAAGTTCAGAACTAGTGAGTATGAGTATGAATACAACTTATGTTTAACTCTACGTACAAAAAAAAAGGTAAAAAATAAAAATTTATAACTTAATGTTATACAATAAATAAATAAATTAAATAATAAAAAAAAGTAAAGTACATAAAAAAAAGGTTTCAATGTAACATATCATGTGCGACACCAGATAATGGTGTGATGTTGAGGACTATGAAATACACTTTGGTACTTATAGAACATATAACCCAAATTACTTGAGCTTTGTTGAGGAAGCAAAGATGATACACGACTCGGTGGTGATGTTACACAATCTGCTTATATTAATATGGAAAAAAAAAAAATTTGACCAACTTGAATTTTAGGGCCTTTCTGGCTTTGCAACTTATTCGTTTAATTTTGATAAATTGCAACCCCAACTATACGTTATTGATAAACTGCAACCTCGACCACCGAAATTGGCCGGAAAACTCCTTAAGCGGCGGAGCTGGTAACTTTTGTAAGGGTAAAATTATAATCTTACCTTATATATCGTTATATAAATATAACGTTCTCCTTCACAGTCCGCTCATCCAAATTTTTCCCCAATTTTTTCCCCAATTTCGTAAGAACCCTAACCCTAAATTGTTCAAATGGAGTAGAGGCAAACAGTTGAGCATATCGTGGAAAGATTTTGCTGTCGCGGAAAAAATGTGGTCGGTCATAAAGACGTTGTGGACTTAGCTATAGCAACATTTCGGCCAATGTACTCTGTTCTACTGCTATGATTGACAAATGAACCATTGTGATGAAATCTAATACTACCTCCTATTTTTAATATATGTCGTTTTGAGAAGTTGCACACTAATTAAGAATATTTTTTTTGTCAATAATAACCTTATTTAATGAAGATAGAGATGAATATTTTGAGAAAAAAGTGAAGAGTGAATATGAAAAGACGTAATGCATTTATTGGCTAAATGAGAGTAATAATGGAAAAATATGTACTAAGATCCAAAACGACATTTATTTGCCAAATAGTTGAAAAAGCTAGAATGACATTTAAAAAAAATAGGAGGGAGTACTAAATAACTGCGAGTTAACACCTGCAAACAACTAAAAAGAACAAAAAAAAAAATAACCGAAAATATCAAATCCGTAAATCATCCCCGAAAGTGCCAACATTGTGTAATAAATTAAGTGCAACAAACTTACCGTAATCTGGAAAGAATCTAGTTGTGATAGTTGTGCGTAGCTCACGAATTTTCCAAACCATTTCGCTGAAGAATCAAAGATTTAGGGTTGGCACAACAAGGCATCTAAGGTCGTTTGACAATATATCCATGTTGCACAGGTACAGTGAAGTTGGCAGTTGCCAGGCCTTCCTGTCGACATTAAAGGGGTCGACACAGGACTGGTTCCAATTACTACTGGCAGGTTCCATTGGTAATTTGAGAGATTCAGCTCTATATTTTTAAATCAGTTTGCGAGTGCCAGAAAGCATGGGAAGACGTATGTCGCGCTAATCAGCATGCAACAGAAAGAGGTGGAGACTTTGCGGCTATATGTGTCATTATAAACCAATGAGTGTGTAGAGGTTTCTTCTGCTTCGGAGCAGATCAAAGCTGGGGGTCTCACGCGGGGCTTAAGGCCTGTGAAGTGTAGGGATTAATTAGCAAAGAGACCGGCAAGATCCTTCGAAGAGCTTCTTAAACGGTGTAACAAGTACGTGAATATGGAGAAAGCAGAGTCTGACTTCATCTAGAATGACAAGATGAAGGCGAAGCAAATAGAGGAGGAACCTCGTCAAATGAACGCAGAACTCCCCAAAAGTTATCTAAACCTTAGGACCAATTCAGGGACTCGAGGTATGAGCATTACAAGCTGCTAAATGCACCACAACAGATGATCGTGGAGGTGATGTAGAGACGAAGATCCTCGCCCAACCTAAACCTCTGCCTCCACCACAGAAAGATTTTTTCGTAGGAAATGATAGATATTGCCAGTACCATCAGGATTATGGCCATTCCACTAAATTCTGCTGGAAGTTGAAGGATAAAATTGAGTGGCTCATCAGAGAAGGACATCTAAAGGAGTTTGTTGTCAAGGATAAGGAGCGCCAGGAGGAGAGAAAATCAGGTGACAAGCGTGAGAGTGGCGGATGAACATGTGGATATGCCAGTGAAAAAATGGATAATCCACATGACTGTAGGGGCCCCCACAGATGGATATTCGCATAGGAAAAAAAGGACTTATCGAGGAAAGGGAATTGCCGATGAAATGGCAGAGGTGCAGGTGCAGGCAAGTTCGACCACTTTGAGGTTTGGAGCTGAAGATGCACAAGGACTTTTTTTTCCGCACAACGATGCTTTGGTTATCACCCCAGAGGTAGCCAACTATGATGTACATAGGGTGCTCATAGACACTGGAACCTCGACAGACATCATTTTCTGGAAATGCCTACAACATATGGAGTTCAAAGTGAATATTGAACCAGTGCACACTGTTTTATTAGGATTAAACAACGACGAGGTCCACCGCATTGGTGAAGTAAGTTTAACTATAGCAGTGTGTTGGTCACCTTTGAGGAAGGTAAAAATGGTTTGTTTTTGGTTGTGGACGCCAGTTCAGCATATAATGTCATATTGGGACGACCCAATCTGAATTCATTCTATGTCGTTGTCTCAACTTATTGCATGAAGATTAAGTTTCTAGTAGGGAATGAGATTGGAGAGGTGACAAGAGATCAGTTGCAATCTAGGCGGTGTTATGCGGTCACGTAAACTATTAAATCCCAGAACAAAAGGAGGCACGATGATCAGCCCGAGTGTTCACATCTGGAGAAAAGAGAAGAACTGGGAATAGGCTCTCAGTATGAACTGATGGAAGTTAAATTAATAGAAGGAAGTCTTACGAAAACGGCCAAGTTGGGCCGAAATTTGGCCACCAACACCCGAAACATGCCCATTGCTTTAGTAAGGGAGTTTGTGGACATTTTTGCCTTTTTAGTTTATGATCTCACAAGAATTAGCTCAGAAGTGGTAGAGCATAGGCTCAACATTGATCCCACGGTGTGGCCAGTCAAGTAGAAAATGAGGCATTTCAGGCTGAGCTGGAGGTCGTGATTAAGGTTGTAAACGGATCGAATGAAAGCGAATATTAAGATATTTGATTCGGATTCGTTAAAATATTCCAAGATTCAAATTTGTATTCGATTCGTAAACGAATTCATTTTATGATTCGTATTCGACTCATTTGTAATATTCAAATATATTCGATTTGATTCAAAATTCGTTTTCAGAAAAATATATTAATTAAAAAAATTATAATAACAAAAATATTAATTATGTTTTTCCTATCCGATTTGAGATGTTTTTAAGACAAATTGTTAATATAGAAAGTTTTTACTTATTATGTCATAAAAAATTAGGAATATAACAATATATATATATATATAATTTATATATATTATAAACAAAATTTATACTATATATAATTTATACAATTATTGTTAACGAAACGAATATCACGATTTCGAATCGAATATCTACAAGTTCTAACGTGAATTTATTTAACTTCTGAATATAAAACATTATTCGTATTTGAATTCGAATATCGAATCAAATAAAAAAATACTAGTGTTTACAAGCCTAGCCGTGATTGAGCGAGAGGTGGAGAAATTGTTAAAGGCAGGACATATGTGACTCATCCAATTTCTGGAGTGGTTCTCGAACTCAGTTATGGTGAGGAAGGGAGAAGGAAAATCGAGGATGTGCATAGACACCTGAACAAAGCTTGCCCTAAAGACCATTACCCGTTACTGCAGATAGACCAGCTTGTCGAATCCACAGCTGGGTGTGAGTTATTAAGCAAAATGGATGTCTCCCAGGGCTACCACCAAATTCCACTTGCTGAGGAGGACCGAAAGAGAGTCAGTTTTGTGATGTCCAAGGGTAACTATTGTTATGTATTGATGCCTTTCGGGTTAAAAATGCAAGAGCTACATACCAATAGTTAGTGGGTAAATTGCACCAAACCCCCCTGTGTTTAACGAAATGTGCGCGTTTTCCCACTGTGTTTTAAAAAGTGCACCAGACCCCCTTGTGTTTAAGTAACCGATGCACGATTCCCCCATTCCGTCCAAGTTAACCGCGCGTGTATGACACCTTCTATAACTGCGAGATTTGTTCAATTTTTTTATTTTACATAATTAATAATTTACTTTTTTACCCTTTTGAATGATATTGCAAAATCTAAAATTGTATAAAATGTGGGAAGAGGATTCGATCCTGGGTTGCAAAGGGAAAGCATGTCCACTCAACCATTGGGCTATATGGGTGGATGTGTAATGTTTGAACATAAATATATTTATACTACGAAAATTAATTAAATATTTTAAAATAAAGTAAACAAAATAAAATAACAATATAATAGGCCAATTTACTATAAACTAAATAATTAATAATAATAACTTCCAATAAATTAAATTAACATAAAATAATAAAAAACATTAAATTAAAATAAAGTAACATAAAATTTAATATAGTAGCGTAGATTAAAAGTAAATAAACTAATATTTTAATTATTTAAATAAATTACTTATATAAATTTTAAATGAACAAATAA